AAAAAAAAAAAAAAAAAAAAAAAAATTGAGAAAGTATATGCCAGGTACTGGAGAAATAGCAATTAAGTCAATTAAGTTTGCCTTCATGAAAAAGAGGGGAAATAACACACATATAATTTTAAATATTTTATATAAATAATATATACACATATATGAGTATATATACATTAAGTTAGTTTTAGGTAATATAAATTCTACATTACTATGAAGTATGTATATTAGAAAATGGAAAGGTTCAGGTAACGGTGGTTAGCGAAGGCATTTTTGAGGTTGGTGACATTTGAGTGGAGAAAGATGGTAGAGAATTAAAACAACAAAAAAATCAAAAACCAGAAAGATCTAGGGGAATAGTATCTCAGGAAAACAAGGGCAAAAGTGCTAAGGTGAGAACAGACATACAATAGGTATTCAAAAAAAATTGTTGAGTGAATTACTAAATCCTATCCTATCGTCTTGGAGAGATTTAAGTTGTTAAGAACATCCTGATAGGAAATATGTCCAACCTGATGAATGATACTTACATATTTTTTCTTAATAAATAAAGCTTTAAAATCCTAATTTTAACAGTGTGTTTAACAGAAATCACTTAAGAGTCACAGCCTTATTTATGACATTACATTTTACTAAATAATTGAACACACTTGAAACAAATGCTAATACTGCCCGCTTAGTCACAGCAAGTTTTTTCTGAGAATTATTAATGTGAAATTTTAATTCCAGGCTGATCTCTTTTCCGTTCAGTATCTGAGAAGGATTACTTGCCACCAGAAACTGTCTTTACTCATTTGAAAGTAAAGTTTAAATGCAAAGAAAACCAGTATTTTACAATCTCCATATAGAAAACGGTTAAAAATATCAATCTTAGTTAAACAAAATCAAAGGAAGTAAAAATAAGGAATACTATTTTCATTAAAGATGGATAAAAATCCAAAATTGAGGAAGAGGTGAGGAAATAAGCATTCATTCTCATCATTGCTGACATGAGCATAAACTGGATCAACATCTTTTCAGAGAACAATTTGGTAGTAATCAAAAATTAAACTGTACACCCTCCGCCTCCTGGGTTCAGGCAATTCTCCTGCCTCAACCTGGGATTACAGGCACGCGCCACCATGCCCAGCTAATGTTTTTTGTATTTTTAGTAGAGACGGGGTTTCACCATGTTGACCAGGATGGCCTCGATCTCTTGACCTCGTGATCCACCCGCCTCGGACTCCCAAAGTGCTGGGATTACAGGCTTGAGCCACCGCGCCCGGCCTGTACACTTTCTTAGACCCAGCAATTTCACCTCTAAGAAACTATTTTATAGAAATACAGTCATGCATAGCACAACATTCTGATCAACAATGTACCGCATATACAATGGTGGTCCCATAAGAGTATAATACCATATTTTTATGGAAACTTCTCTATGTTTAGATACACAAATATTTACTATTGTGTTACCACTGCCTATGTTACTCAGTACAGTAACATGCTATACAGGTTTGTAATCTAGGAGCACTAGACTATAGGATATAGCCTAGATGTGTAGTAGGCTTGTGTAAGTACACTCTATGATGTTCACAGTGACAAAATTGCCTAATGATGCATTTCTCAGAATATATAGCCATCGTTAAATGAGCAACACATGCCTATACTAAGACTATACTTAAAAAAGTGGGCAAAAATACATATACAATGCCACAAAATGCACATTGTAGCACTGTATATAGTAACAAAGAAAACTGGCAACAACCCCAATGTCTACTAATAATGAATAAGTGCATAAAATGGAATACTATAATAAAAGCCATAAGGACAAATGGGGTAAATTTACATGTACCAACACAGGAAGAAGTCTATGAGTGTAAAAAGCAAGGCAAAGAATAGGACGTGTAAATATGTGTACTTATTTGTCTAACAAATATCTCAAGGAAAAATTCTAGTAGAACACAAAACTATTAACAGTAGGGTTAGTTGCCTCTGGTGAGTGAGGTTTTACGTTATAGTCCTATACTTCAATATTACTTTAAACATTTAAAAAAAGTTAAAAGCTAACATGAAGGAAGTTAGAGTAAATTCAGTTTTCATTTTTTTTTTTGAGACTGAGTCTCACTCTGTCGCCCAGGGTGGAGTGCTATGGCACGATCTCAGCTCACTGTAACCTCCACCTCCCGGGTTCAAGCGATTCTTCTGCCTCAGCCTACCAAGTAGCTGGGACTACAGGTGTGTGCCACCACGCCTGGCTAATTTTTGTATTTTTAGTAGAAACGGGGTTTCACCATATTGGCCAGGCTGGTCTCAAACTACTGACTTTGTGATCCACCCTTGTGATCCATCTCCTGGATTCAAGTGATTCTCCTACCTCAGCCTCCCAAAGTGCTGGGATTACAGGTGTGAGCCACC